CAATAAATTCTTGGTGTCGGGGGATTGGAAGGTGCAATGTCCTTTGACTAAATTGTCATCAGACCATGTTCCGATTTGTTTTCACACATATAGTGGCTTTAAAGGTCCAAAATCATTTAGGTTGGATTTGATGTGGTTAAAAGAAGGGGATGTTGTAGATCTTATAAAATAGATGTGGAGCAACACTGTGGTCTTGGGGTGGTACAGATTTCATGTCCATAAATAGCTACTGAATGTGAAACACAAAAATGCTTTATTAGAAAAAAGATAGTAAGTTTCATATTCAAAATGAGATTGGGGAAGTGATGTCAAGACTTGAGTTGATTGAGCATATTGTACAAAGTAGAGGGAGTTCATCGCATGAATTTGAAGAGGAAAAGATGCAACTTATGAATTCATTACATGAGGTACTTAAATTAGAAGAGATTTATTAGAAGCAAAGATCAAAGATAAAATAGTTGAATGAAGGAGATGTGAACACCAAGTTTTCCATGCTATAGCAAATTCAAGAAGGTAACAGTATGATATATCAAGTATTTAATTTGAAGGTGTACATGAGAATGATAGAGATGCGTGGAATTTGGAGTTTGTAAAGGACTTCCAAAATATTTTCTCTGAAGAAAAGTAATTTACACCTATTTTTTAGGATGTTCAATTTCGAAGGCTATCATTGGAGGTAGCAGTGTCGTTGGAAAGGTTGGCTCAAGAATAAGAAATTAAACATGTCTTCTCATTGCCTGGTGATAAGTCTTCGGATCCAGATGGATTTCCTCTATATTTCTATCAAAAAATTTAGGAGATGACTAAATGGGATCTAATGCATTTGGTGAACAAATTCTTTTTGAGGGGTGTTTTGAACGAAGCAATTAACTCAACCTATATCGCTCTAGTCCTAAAAAAACAATCTATTTTAAGGATTGTTGATATCAGACATATAAGCTTACTTACAAGATCGTACAAAAACATCATTGAGGTATTGGCAGAAAGATTAATGGCGATGCTAAATTTGGTGATATCGGCACCTCAATCGGCTTTTATTCATGGCAGTATTATTATTGATGGTGTGTTAATTGCACAATAATGCATGCATTCGAGGAAGAAAGTTGGAGATTCTTCTAAAGCTTGATATGGAGAAAGCCTCCGATCGAGTAGATTAGGATGTGTTGCTGAAGATCCTAAGATGTATGAGGTTCGGGAAGAAATGGTTGATATGGATTAATGTATGCTTATCTCGTGTATATTTCTCAATTTTACTAAATGGAAGTCCCAAAGGCTTTTCCAAGGCAACGAGGGTATTGAGGCAAGAACATCCCCTTTCGCCTTTCCTATTTACAACTGTTGCTGAAGCTTTTAGCCTTATGATCTATAATTGTTGAGGCTAGAGGTAGATTCAACGGTTTCAAGGTATCTCTACTAGCATGTCTGTTTCATGCTTACAATATGCAGATGATACATTTTTGCTTTGTGATGCGGAAGTGAATCAGATTGTCAAATATTATAAGATTATTATTATATTGTGAAATGGCACTGGGGTTAAAGGTTAATTGTTTTAAAACATTGATTGTTGGGGTGGGTTATGAAGAAGAACAATTACGTTTCTTGTGTTTCATTTAAACTACAAAGTAAAAAAATTCCTTGTTAAATATCATAGATTGTCAAAAGGGAAGAAATATCATCTTATAAGTTGAGATATGGTGTATACTCCTAAAAGGGAAGGGGGTTTGGGAATTTAGAAGCTTAAGTATATCAATCAAGCTCATCTTGCAAAGTGGTGGTGGAGGTCGATGAGTGACGATGGTTTATTATGGAAGGAGATCTTAAAAGCAAAATATGGGGTGGATCAATGTAATTTCTGGATTGGAAGAGAAGGACGAATGAGACTAACGGCAAAAAGGGATATTGCAGTCCAAAGACTTTATGATGAGGTATTGTAGTAGAGGAAATAAAGTTTCATTTTGGATCAACAAATGGCTGGAGGAATCCATTTTGAAAGTAGCTTATCCGCTTGTATTCAATGTTGTAGTTCAGTCGTTAATGATGGTCTATGAAGATAGGAGGGCAGTATGGAATGTGAATTGTCAATATAACAGGGTGGCAGATGGTATTCTTGGACAATACATGGATTTGCTAAAGGAACTTGAAGGCTTGAGGCATGTTCAAGGGATGGAGGATGAGTTTGTGAGGGAGTTAGAAAGTGGTTAGTCTTACGATGAAGTCAGCAAACAAATTACTCTTTTCATGATGGATCAGATGGCGTCGTTGTTCTTTGAAGAAGAGTTGGTGTGGTGAATTCCATATAAAGTTAAACTCTTTCTATGGGTGTTGTCTCAAGGAATGACTCTAACAGTTGATAATGTTACAAAAAGGGGAAGGATCCTGACTAATATTTGTATTCTTTTCAAGGAAGGTGATAAAAATGGGGATTATTTGTTTCTTCTTTGCCCATACCTCTTCCATATTTGGTGTCGGCTGTTTAGGAAAATAGGGATTGCAATTATGCTGCCTAGCAGCCACATTCATATTGTAGATCATCTTAGCCTTGATGGTTTGGCCAAAGTTGGGGATGTGATTTGGCAAATATCTAGGGAAGCTATGTTATGGGAAGCTTCGTTGGAGCGCAATAGACGAGTATTTAAAGGGGTTGCAATAGATATCAAAATGGTGGAAAGGAAGATTTTGAATACTATTTGAAGCCGGTTTTCTATAACAAAAGCAGGTTTTGGGGTATACAAGTTGGATTTAGATGTTAATTTTTCAAATCTGATAGTGCAGATAATAGCAAAAGTGAGACCAAAGGGGAGATGGGTACCACTCTCAAATGTTTGTACAACAGAATTTTGGATGGCAACTCCTTGGACAATCCAGGACCATCAGGTTTTGGAGGTAGTCTTAGGATTTCACTTAGGGAAATTATTTTTTGTTATGCAGGATCCTATGGGGGTGACAACTACAAATAAGTGGAATTGGCGGCCTTCGCGCAAGGACTATGTTTGATGGTGCAAAGGATAGTGGAAAAATCTTGCATTATTGAAGGTGATCCGTTGAATGCCATTAACTGGAGTAATCAAGTTACTAGGCTGTCATGGCATTTGAGGAGGTAGCGAATGAGAGGGTTGGAGCTTTGTATGAGTTTGCAAGTCTCTTTCCAGCGTGTCTATAGTGAGGCTAATGACATTGATAATAGCCTAGCCAAGAGGGAAGTGGAACGGCAAATCACTCTAGTAGATGTAATCTTTATATGAGATCATTGTAGTCTTTCATTAACTAATAAGATTATGTCGACAAAAAAAAAAAAAGGGAAAAATTTATATAGCGTTGAGGCTCTAAATAATCAAATTAGAGCCTACTTTAAAATTTTCACTAGTTTTGATACCCAAATATCTTCAAATTGATCATCTTGACATCAAGATGCATAGACAAGAAAAAAAAATAGATTTCAAGTTTTAAAAATAGTGTATTTTGTAGTGTATTTTTGGACCGTCAATTTTTAATATTTTCAAGTTTTCATAGATCTGTCAATCAAGACTATTTTTGAATCTTTAAACTTTATAAATAAAAATGAAAATATATTTTAAGACTATCCCAAAGATTTCTAATATTGAAACCACATTTCTAAACACTACTTAAAGGTAGACTCTAATTTGATTGTTTAGAGCCTAGGCTCACGGTACCAAAAAAAAAAAAGTACACAAGGCAAAAGTACAAAAGTACATGGACACCTTCCTAAAGAGATGTAACTTTAAACACATATCAATAGCTAAATCACCAAAACCAAAAGCCCTAGGAGCCCGTTTAGTACCTTGGATTCAGATTTCTAGAAATCATATTTCTTGAAAAAGGCCAGGCCAATCATGTTTAGTTAGTTTAGAATTGACATTTTTATTGGAACATTTTTATTGGAATTGAGATATCCGTGAGATTCCTTAATGCTCATTTTAAGCCTAAATTTTGGAAATCTCAATTCCACCAAAATAGGTTGAATTGACATTTCATAAAAATGACCCATTTTTTCACAAACCTATATTAAAATTTTTGAAAGGGAAACTATATAAAATTTTAGAGAGAGAATACATAAATTTTTTTGAAAGAAAATACATGACATTTTTTAGAGAGAGAAACTATGTCTAATTTTTTGATAGAAAAACTATCTCAAATTTAAAGTTTAAGAGAGTCATTTTAAAAAATTTAAAGAGAAACTATCTCAATTCTTAACTTTTAAAGAGAGAAAGTATCTTAAAATTTTAAATACATTAAATTTTAGAGAAATGAACTACTTCATTTTCTAGATAGAAATATCTCAAAACTTCTAAAGAGGGAAACCATCTCTAAATTTAAGTATTAGAGCTAAAAAACATCTTAAAATTTTAGAAAGATGAACTGCTTCAAATTTTTTAAAGAGAAATACCTTAAAAGTTTTAAAGAGAGAAACTACTAGAAATTTCAAGTTTTGGAGAGAGTTTATTAAAAATTTAGAGATAAAAACTATATCAAAGTTTAGATAGAGAATCTTACTGAAAAATTTTAGAGAAAGAAACTACTTCAAATTTTAAGTTTTAGAGAGACAATATCTTGAAACTTTAAATAGAAACTATATCAAATTTCAAATAAAGTACCTTAAATATTTACAGATAAACTATTTCAGAAAATTTAGATAGATAAACTATCAAAGTTTAAGTTTTAGATCGAGAATGTATATTAAAATCTTAGAGACGAAACTACCTGAAAATTTTAAAGAGAAAAACTAACTGAAATTTTACAGAGGGAAATATCTCAAAATTTCTATTGAGAAACTATCTCAAATTTTAAATTTTAAAGAGAGAGAGTACCTCAAAATTTTAGAGAAAAACTACATCAAATTTTTGAGAGTATCTAAAATTTTGTGTAAGAGAGTATCTAAAATTTGCATTTCCATGAATAAGATATTCCAATCAATTTTTCTAGTTTCTACCATATGAAATCCAAACTGCATATAACATATTAAAAAAATGGCAATTCCAGTAAATACCGAATCCAGGATATAATTTTCCACAGGATTGAAAAAGACAGCGAACCAAACAGGGCCTAGGTGCTTCCCCAAAGACCTCACCCTCATCAAGATCAGTAGAAATATGACTTATTAACACTACTCTGATTAAAAAATCTCCAAAGGAGTAATTACATTTTTTTTCAATAAAAGAAGGGCAAGGGAAGAGAAGAAAGAAAACATAGTAATTCCTTCGAAGCAAATATTAAGCATTGTCCTATTCCCTATAACTCTGCACTACACATTCTCCGAGACAGAAAGTCTATACATGAATGCATTCCAGATGAAAAAATGTCAGGGGTTGAGAACCACCAACTGGGCAGCTCCAACATTGAGAAAAAGAGTTGCCCAACTCCGTAATTATTAGCCGGAATCCTTCTTCCTTTGCTGATTTCAAGTGTACGAGTATGGAGTAGGTGTGTATGGTGTCGTTCTCTGCTTGCATATAAAACCCCAACAAGTAGTTGCATTATGTATCACTTCCATAGCTTGACGCACTTGTCGTGGCTTGCGGAGGCCACCATCCCTGTATTGGGGGAGCGCGCCAGTGCTGCAATTAGATTATCGTGTGCTTGAACAGACATCGACTTTCCCTCCGAACTGCTCCACAACTCCAATGTCTGAAATGAACAATTGCATGAGCAAAGGCAAAAAATAGTCGGGAACAGGGTAGCAAAGCTTACCGTCTCATTTATAACTTTTTAATCACAAAAGGATTAGGCATCTTGCAAAAAGAACGGAAAAAGGTGAAACACATGAAAAAAAGCAGTTAAAAAAAACTCTAGAAGCTTTTTATGTGGGATAGGGTGGCTTACTTTTACAAGGTAAGCAAGAGAATGTAATTAAAGAAATGAAAACATGGAGGCAAATTCTAAGTTGCTGAATAGTAAAGCTCCATGGTAATATATACATGAAATAGAAACAAAAAAGAAGGGACAGAACAGAAGAAACGATTTCAGACTGATAAGTAGTAGTAGATGTTTTTCAGTTATTTCTTTAACTCATCCAAACATTTGACGAGAAGGTATGGCTATTATCAAGTGCTTTGATAGAAGGCAAACGATTATATGCTCCCTCTGGTGAAAGCCCTATCTAGGATTAGTTTTGGGACCCAAATTTCCGAGGTGTAACCTCTGCAACCTAGTGAACAACATTAAAAGAAAAAAAAAAAGACCTCATGCATTCTATATGTACATATAAAAGAAATTGTCCCAAGATTGAAGGGAGACCACCCATTTGTCCGACGGTCAGGCCTTCGTGGTTAGTTTATTCCCTTGTTTTCTTTTTTCTTTTTTAGAATGTTAACTTGGGAACTGGAGAGAATGGAATTCTAGACATCGCTTTCTTATGTAGGACTTTTACCTGCTAGAGTAACATGAGCACGCCGCACATGCTCTTGATAGAAAACCAAAATACCGAGGAATTTCTGAATCAACAAAAAGACCTAAGATCTCCAAAAAGACTTCGGTGCAAATAAACAAGCTGTCCAAATATTACAAGACGGTACAATTCTAGTTTCTTTTAGTTCTTGTTTTTTTCTGACAGTCGACAACATGCTTGTGGTACAATTTAAGATCTAAATGGTGGTTTACAAGAAAGCCCAATCACTTTAAACCTGGATCAAATGCCAAAACAAACGGATCAGATCTGATGCACTTTAAAGCTTTTAAGGATTTTGTCTTTTAGAAGACACAAAACCCTTCTTTGCTAATATGATCATTTTACCACAAGTTGGTGGCTGCATTCATTGTTGGCATCTTTTGCAACAGATTGATGTGGAGGCGCTAATGCCAATTAAAAGAGGAGTGCAATAACAGAAGTATGAGTTCTGATGATATGAAATATCCTTCAACATCAAACAATATGCACTTAATCAAACAAGAAAAATCTGGTTAAAAGGAACCAATCAAATTAGGAGAGTGGAAAGTAAACAATGGCTAGTAAAATAATAATGGGTAATGCTACTCTCGTTACCTGATAACCCCCAACTATAAGGAGCATCGGGTAGCTGGGATGGAAAACACAGGACTGAAGTTTATTTCCCTTGGAGGTCAGCTGGCGTACGCAATCCCCACCTGATGATTTTAATGACCAAATCCTGACACAATCCTCACTAACAGATGCCAGATACTCCCCATCCGTGTCCCAACAGATTCCACTCACCTCTTTGATATGCCCCTGCATAAGCATGCTCAGCATCAACACCAATAACTACAAGTAACTTGAACCACACAGAGTGGAATTGGGCCAATGCCATTCACCAAAGTGGATATCGGTGAAGATTGGGAACCATTAGGACATGATCTCTGTGGTGAATCCCACAATCTCACTCACCATCCATTTTTAAGTGGCTGGCGACGGCCCAATAGACGATCTACTAGAACATAGTATGCTAATACTATAACAAAAAAGCCTTTAGGTGTCAGGACAAATCAGACCTTTAAGGTATGTAAACAACGGTTTGTCTCAACATCAAATATGTTTATCATGTTCTCCTCGGAAGTGGCCATGAGCTGCCCAGCTATAGGCTGGAATCTAAGCTGTGAAATACCACCCTGCTATGCGTAGCTAAAAGATCAGAGCAGATACCCAAAGCAGCAAACTTCTTCAAAAAAAAGGAAAAAACAAAAAAAAAAAGATTTGAATAGAAACAACAGTATCAAGGACTAAATACTAAAATACATCAGAAAGTATATTTTTGTCAAATTAAGAAAGTGTAGTTACAACAGTGAAAAACAACCTGTTTTCTCAAAATTGGACAACAACAAATATTTTATTGGACAAAATTAAGAACAACAAATATACAGATTACTGGCAAAATCAACTGCCATTCCCAAAGAGACAATTTTGCATAAGATATAGGGGGAATTTAACAGCCATGGATTGCATGAAGCAGTGTATTATGGTTGAGTGTGGAATTGGTGCTTGGTGCCCTCCTCTTCATCCAGATTCCAGGGAATACAATGGCACCTCAAAACTCTCATTTCTTTGATGGATTGAGGACCCAAAATCACTCTATACCACTTGGTAATCCATTTCCACACCAAAAAAAAATGCTTTTTGGAGATTCAACACCAATAAAATAGTTTTGGAGCTCCTAAAAGCTCTACTTCATACAGGGTCTAGAACAGATCTCAAGACAGCAATCAAGATGGAGCATTTTTGGATCACCCCCCACACCCCCCCCCCCCCCCCACCTCCCCAAACCCCAAACCAAAAAAGAAATAAAGAAAAGAGAGAGAGAGAGAGATCCATGATATTGGTGGGCAAGTGAATGGATCTGCATAATTTTGAGTCCTCAAACAACCAAAACATGGAGAAGTGGGGCACCGATGTAGTGCTATGGGCTACATCCACAACGTAATGAAAAATATTTCTTTGGTTATTCATGATAAATCCAGGATCATAAAAGTCAAATCTTAAATATGCGGAATAGAAGAATTGAATGCCTCGATACCCCCTAATGTATCGCCAAACCTAACCCTTGCTATCCACAATATCAAGAAGTAACGTACATTATCTCCGTAATCAACACCTAGAATTCCAATTAAAAGTAATATGGTTCTAGGTTATTCCGAGAAACAAGGAAATTGTAAGACATTTTAGTAGAACCAGGGCATTGTCAGTAATTTTCAAAACTCTAGCCGCAGTCAAGTGTGATAAACTTTGGAACTTGTGAATACTCCACAAAAAACAAGAAGCTGAGCAACTGACCTTGGAGACCCTTGTGCAGGCTTGCTGATTTACATTCCACCATCGTATTTCCCCATTACTGTCACACGAGCAAAGGAGATCTGGTTTCTTGGGATGGAAATCCAATGACTTCACTTGTGTCTCATGCCCAGAAAGCTTGCACAACGAATAGCTAGGCTGAAAAATTACCATGACTGTATCAATCACCACATGCTCATGTTAAAATGATATGCAGTCCCCATGAAAACAAGTTAAAACAACTCAGTTACAATGAAGCAAATGTAATAGCAATTGTTAAAAAAAAGTCTCCACAAGAAGTGTTTCTAAAAGAATCCATGGCATGGCAGTTGAAAGGAGGAGCAGCATCGGGAAGAGAATTGTAAATGGTGGAATCCACTATCAAGGAACAGTTGAAAAAAATCCGAAAACCATTAAAGCAACAGAGTAATTTTCAGTAAATAATCCTAGTAGAAGACAAGTCATCTAATTTCAGCTCTGCCCCTCTGGACCTCTACAAAAAGTGTATCCCACCCCTTTATGAGCATATATTCTCCTTCCCAAAGAGAGCACCATGTGGGAGAGAAAAGAGGTGTCAGAAAAAGAGAGGCCATGCTAAAGAGAAACCTTTTAAGGCTTTTAGAGGTCCTGTGATGGAAAGAGAGATGGCAAGAAAGAGTTAGCCTGGACTTTGGACTCCTTTATATCTTACGTGAGAGATCTTAGAAAGAGAGAGAGGAAAATCGTGCAACCAAAACGACCTTGTCTCTGCAAACTACCTTAAATTGAGAGAAAAGAGGTAAATTAGTCTCCAATAAGCAGCGCCATATTAACTCGTGGTGATCATTCATACTGGGGTGTACTAAATCCTAGAAGGTGATTCTAGGTACATTTTCAGGTATGTGATCTTGCTGATTTTCTTTTTTTTAGAGCACCTAGTAAACAATGTTGCTGAGCACATAGTTAACAATGCTGCAGCAACATCTCTTGCGGCACACCTTTTTTTTTTCTTTTGCAGTCTTGAGTGTAATTTCACCCTATAAAATTTCAATAGAGGCACGTGCCATCATCATCATCATCGTCGTCAAAGCCTTTTCCCAACTAATTGGGATCGGCTACACGAATCCTGGTCCGCCATTATGTTCTATTAAGGGTCATACCCTCAGTGAGGCCATAATGCCCCATATCTTTTCTCACTACTTCCAACCATGTATTTTCGGATGTACCCTTTGCCCTTTTTGAGCCTTCCACTTGAACTAACTCATACCTCCTAACAGGTATTGTATTGGGTCTACACCACACATGGCCAACCCCACCTAATTCTATTCTCTATCATTTTATCGTTTATTGATGCCATACCTAGATTTTCCTGAATGTATTCATTTAGATTTCTATTCCTTTTTGTCTTGCCACTCACCCATCTTAACATCCTCATCTCCGCTACATTCATTCTATGGGTAAATTGTTTTCTCACCGCCCAACATTCCACCCCATAGAGCAAAGCTAGTCTCACAGTTGTCCTATAGAACTTGCCCTTCAGCTTCATTAATATGCGACGATCACATAAAATTCCGGTTGCACATCGCTACTTCGCCCACCCAACTTTAATTCTATGTGAGACATCTTCCTCAATCACTCCATTTTCTTGAATTATCGACCAAAGATATCGAAAGTGCGTTCTTTTTGGTAATTCCTGGCCGTCAATCTTACCTACCTCCTCATCTCTACTCCTATTATTGTTAAACTTGCATTCCACGTACTCTGTCTTAGTCCGGTTGATGCAAGGAGAAAATAATAAGCAAAATAATAGAAAGATAAAATAAAAATGATTGAGATAATATACCCTCTCTCAAGGTCTGCAAGGGAGCCCACCCCAAAAAAGATCTTTTCACAAGATCAACTTTACTCAATTCTAATTTCTGCTCCCTTTACAATGAGAGACATTTCCCCTTTAAGTACAACTGAAATAATAAGATAAATAAATAAAAATACATTTATCTCTTTCTAAAACTCATTTCTTTCCCAAAAAATACCTTTCCAACTACTTGTTTATCAAAAGTTTGACTTTCCAACAAAAAGATTGACTTTCTAAATATTAGAACATATCCTCTAAGATAGACCTTCCTATTGATAGACCTTCCTATTCTATCTCTATTTAAAAGATAATTTCTAAATTTCTAAAATAAATATCTTTTATACCCCTCAAACCTCTACAACAAAAATACAAAATAACCCTAAATAAACTAAAAATCAAAATAATACCAAATCTAAAATCAAGAAAATATAAAAATACAAAATAAAAATAAAAATAAAAAAACCTGATTTTTTATTTGAATCATTCTCCCTAGGTTGGGATAAGCTCGACCTCGAGCTTATAGAACTCAAATCTTTTAGAGGCCTCCTCAAAAGTTGGTGATGTAGCCCGACCATGTGCCTCGGGACTTTTTTTTCAATAAGTAAACAATATATCCAACATGATTTGTATTGGAAGTTTGAGACACCGAGCTCTAGAAATACCAAACTGAATCTTGATTTCTCCTTCAGGCTTACAGGGTAGTATTCCATAAGCTGCAACACAGATATCGTTTTCTTCACAATTGATTTTTGAAATTTCTTGCACATTTGGGCTATCAACATCGTCTTTTGTATCGAGATCTACCTCTTCTTATTCTTCGTCCTCTTGTTGCAATATACTAAGCTGATATTATTGTATTGATTTGCAAAGGTCTTCCACATGTCTATTGAATTGTCGATCTTGTAGATATTGTTGTATTGATTTACAAAGGTCTTCCATGTGTCTATCGAATTGTTAATCCAATTAATCAAATCTCCATATGGCGTATGCATTTTTTATCTCAAGGCTCTGATTCTAACTAAAGCAGGGCGAAAAACAAATAATAAATCAAAAAATAAAAATAAAATAAAAATTTGAGAGAATATACCCTCTCTCAAGGTATACAAGGGAGGGAATACACCCCAAAAGAGATCTTTTCACAAGATCAACTTTACTCAATTCCAATCTCTGCTCTCTTTACAATGAGGGAACTATCCCCTTAATACAACTGAAATAATAAAATAAATAAATAAAAACACATTTATCTCTCCTTCTACAGCTCCTTTCTTTCCTAAAAAAGATAACCTTTCTAACTACATATTTATCAAAAGTTTGAGATTCTAACTAAAAGATTGACGTTTCTAAATATTAAAACATATCCTCTAAGATAGTCCTTCCTATTTTTTCTCTATCTAATAGATAACTCCTAAAATTCTAAAATAAATATCTTTTATACCCCTCAAATCTCTACAACAAAAAATACGAAATAACCCTAAATAAACTAAAAACCTAAATAATACTAAATCTAAAATCAAAAAATATAAAAATACAAAATAAAAAATAAAAATAAAAATAAAAAAACCCAATTTTTTATTTGCATCACCGACTAATTTTAAAAACCTTTAGATTCTAAAGCATCTCTCCAAAGTTCTAACTTTGTTGATGTTGTTTCGGGTCTCATTGATCAAAACTATATCATCTGCGAACAACATTGACCACTGTACCTCATCTTGCAGGTGCCTAATTAAGTCATCGACAACTAAGACAAAGAGGTATGGGCTCAATATTGACCCCTGATGTAGACCTATTGTCAATGAAAACTCACTCGTCTCTGCACTAATTGTTCGTACACTATTTAACGTTCCATCGTACATATCTCTCACCAAGTCGATATAGTGTCTAGAGACTCTTTTCCAACACCCACCAAATCAAACATCGAAGTACTCTATCATAAGCTTTCGCTAGATCAATAAAGTCCATGTAGAGGTCTTTTCCCTTTGCCGTAAGCTTCTCAAGTAGGTTCCTAAATAAGACAATAGCCTCAGTTGCTGACTTCCCTGACATCAATCCGAATTGGTTTTGTGAAACACTCATTTCATGTCTTAGTCGTTGCTCAATCACTCTTTCCCAAAGCTTTATAGAATAGCTCATAAGTTTGATCCTTTGCACAATTTTGTAAGTCTCAGTTATTCTTGTAAATAGGTACCACAACACTTTTTCTCCATTCGTTTGGCATGTTCTTTGTTCTCAATACATTGTTAAACAGCTTAGTCAACCAGCCAATGCCAATCTCTCCCATGCATTTCCAAACCTCTATCGGGATACCATCTGGTCCTAAAGCCTTTCTTATCTCCATCATTTTCAAAGCTTTTTTCACGTTCGATATCCTAATCCTACGAATGTATCTATGGCCTCCACCCTCATTATGCCAACGGTTCCTTCTACCGCTATGTTCCTATTGTGTTGTCATTTAATAGTTTTTTAAAATAAACTCTCCGCCTTTCGTTGACCTCTTCATCCTTCACCAAGACCCTTTGATCCTCACTCTTAATACATTTAATATGATCTAGATCCCTACACTTTTTCTCTTTCATTTTTGCTAATTTGAAGATATCTTTTTGCTACTTTGAAGATATCCTATGCCTCAAATTTAGCCTTACCTTATATTCGTTTAGCATTTTTCTTAGCTTTTTTATATTCTTCTAAGTTTTGATCATTTCTATGCACTGCCAAGTTTTACAACATGATCATTTTTCTCTAAAGGCCTTCTAAACCTCATCACTTCACCACCAAGTTTCCTTATCGGAACTTCTTTTCCCTCTAGATTCTCCTAAAACTTCTTTTGCCACTTTCTTTATACAATCAACCATCTCGTTCCAAATAACATAGACCTCATGTTCAAAGTTCCATTTTTCTTTTTTAACTAATTTATAGGGGCACGTGTAAGACCAGGAAATTATAGGGGTTTTTAGATGCTCAATGCAGTTCTGTTGGAAAATTTTAAAATACAGCACCTTGTTGCTCCTGGTCATGGCCTTTGACAAAATACATTACTGAGATGCTTAAATCCATCAAAGAAACCCACAACATTAACGCTTAAAAATGGGACATGATACCTATTTACAGGAACAACCAAAATATCTCGAGTTTCAAGGGAGAAAAAATACAAGTACTCAGAATCCAGCAATATCGTTGTCATGTATGCTAGTTATTACAACACAACTCACAAAGGTACTAAAACAGCTAAAGCCAATCAATAAAAAAAGAATGGATAAAAAAGGTAGAATTATGGAACTAGACGTTTCAGCAGATATTGCATAGCAAGCAGGAAGTAAATAAAGATTATCGCTGGAAATTTTTCTGAGAGGTTATGTCTAGTGATAGAAATAACTAAATATCCATCCTATAACAGGAACACAACCATAATCAACTAGCAATGGACAGAAGATGCAAACCATGCTCCAGATAATGTATACTAATTAAGTGGTATAACTAGCATCCAGAAAAACCACGAGTTCTAAGAGAGAATTACATTGGCTGCATTCCACACCCGGACAGTTTTATCAAAAGAAGAAGTCGCTAAATGAGAAGAATTTGGTCTGAAACAAACATCTGTAATCAAAGAAGAGTGTTCTTCTAGTGTGCTCTCCAAATCCAATGTATCCATGTTCCAAAGGACAGCCTACAAAGGCAAAACTGGCATCAGTATATTCTCTCATTCCGAAGAAACTAAGACCCATCCCTTATCAAAGTAATATGGAAAAGACCATAGCTACAATCTAACAAACGATGCCTCGACCCGTTCCTGACATGCATATAGACTATATAACGATACCACAAACTAGTGGACAACACAACACCTTCTTATCGTGTCCAGCACTGGCTAGCAGCTTTCCATCTGACGAGAAATGGCAGCATAAAACCTTTGAATTACTGTAACGTAGGCAACCAACTTCACTGAAAGTAAAACCTGATAAAATGACGCAAATTTATTGGGCATTAACAGACTGAATATAGGTTTACAATATTAAATGCAAGCATACATAATAGATTTCAAAAGGCATACCTTTCAAGGGATCATTGCTTTTGGTTGCAAGACTCCGTTTCAATGAGTGAAATGAAGCATCCCTCCCATCTCCATCATCATGAGACAAAAAGGATTCGATATTGTCATCAAACGAACCCATGTCTCCTAAATCTTCCAGATCATCCTGAAATGAGTGGTTCCAGTTAGAGAACCACTAAGATGGAACTAAAAACAAATAAAAGCCATAGATTCTATGCCATGAAACTAATTCAATTGGTAGTACCATCTGGCCTGAGCTTGAACCCAGTGCACCTGCTCCATCTGGATGGCAAATAGCTACATCCTTGCTACCTTTCGGTGGTAGAGCAAAAGCAACTGACATCCCATCACCTGGCGTATGGGTACATGATGTTGAAGGTGGAGAATTAGGAGAAGGACCAGTTGTGTTGCCTGCACCAGTTCTAGACTCAGAAGGCTTCTTCCTCTTCTGACTATTCTGAACTTTAAGAGAAAAACCTGATCAGTAGATGCATCATGTACCCCAAAGAAAGTCAAAAACAAAAAGTAAGCACACAAAATGTAATATCTGGGAGACAAAAAAAGCCCCCAAAAACCAGTTACAACAATAAGTTAGCATCAAAACATTGATAATATAATTAGACAACAAAATGAAATCATTGAATAAGATCCATACAAAAAATACACCTGCCGCAATTGTTGCTGCTGCAGTTGACCTTGTTGACTCAGAGGTTCTGGCACCTTCACCGCCATTCAGTTCAAAACACATTCGCAGACACATCAAGCATGTCAGCAAACAATAATAATGGAAAAAATACACTCACAGTTAAAACTAAATAGGAAAGAAAAGAAAGGAACAAATACTTGCATGCCATATATTAACAGGGATAATGTGCACATGCTATGTGCCAATCGATTTCTTCATAAAGCATCTTCTGCATACTTTGCAGTATGAATGATACAATAGATTCACAAGATAAAATTTTACAACATAATATCATATATTTGGGAATTCAAAGTAATCGTCTCCTATGGGTATGTAGGATCCTTTTTGGGGTTAGATCAGCTTGTAATTCAAAAGCCATTTAGAACCAAATAGGATTAGACTATTAAACCTTTATAAGTTTTTCTAGTCGGTCTTCTGATGTTGCATGGGCCACCACTGCAGTTGCCTGAACGGGAAGACCAGAATGCTGAGAAGAGCTACTTTCTGTTGGACGAATGTCTTTGGTCAAGCCTACCCTTAAACCCGTAATCTTTGAAGGATGTGTGTCCCCACATATTGATGCAATAGAAGATCCAAGGTTTCCATGAGCCTGTGCTTGTGCTAGGAACTGTTGCTGTTGTTGCAGTGGCAACAGCTGTAACTGCTGCAGTAGATTTGGAGACTGCACATCATGCGATTGCTGCCCCGAGTTTGTGCTTACTCGATCAATTCCCTGTGAATAGAAAGTTGAGAACATAGTGCCAGACAATTAAACTGAGCTAAAAAACATGAAAAAAGAATGAAAACTTCATCCATATATCTACATCCATAAGCCCCTTACAGTTAAAGGCCAACCCCTCAACGGCAGCTCGCTAACGCCAGAATTTAATTCTGCAAAACACAAATCAATTTGAATAAGAAACAAACATACCCCAGCAAGATAGAAAACTAAGAATGTAACAGATAGAGAAACATTCTTTACTTCATCCTACAATTCTCAAAGATGTTAGTAACACTCAGACTGAAGTCATCCAAATGGTTTCACAGCCATAAAGCATGACTTAAAACAAGAGATTTCAGTAGCCTATAGTAAAACCTGGAAGAAGGTAAGAGGTTATTCAAAGAATATCACAAAGTACCTTGCTCAAAGTAACCTGTATACTAATGTTGTCATAACTGAAATGCACCAGAACTCACTATGAAGTCAGTCCCACGGCCAGCCAATTCGGCCTGTCCAGACACTTTCCATGAGAGAAAAGTTGAGAAAGGATGACAGCCTCAGAAAGCCTGTATAAATCCAGTTTGTTTTAAAAGAAAGAACATGGAAGAAATATCTGAATCACTTTTTGGTTCAGCCTGATTCAACTAAGGCTAGAGTAGACCAACCTACAGGAAAATACAAATGACCTTGGGGACCACAGGCCCAGTTTGAACCAGTTCAACCCATTCTATGCCCTAGCTGCACAACTTTTGCAGGCTTATTCTAGTTAACCCAAGAAAACCCAGCAGTTGTGATACTGTACAGTCAAGATTGAGACAAATATCCTAAAATCGAAACAAAGTGAAGCGAAGTGCTGGAGAGAACCATGCTCAAGAACTAACCGAGTTTTAAAGAAATTGTGTAGTTGGAGACCACACCAGTAAGACTACTGTGAAATTTATAAGATAATGGACAAGTAACAGTAACTTACTAACCACTTTAAATTTATAAGAAAAACGGTCAAGTATTCACTAGGTCCTGCCAAGCTGATTCAACCTCAGGCCAAAACTAGCACTGCACCTAACTGTACAGATGAAGCGAGAGAGGGAACAAAAGTGAGAGCAGAGATAGGTCAAAATTTAGAAAGTGATTACAGTAGAAGTGGAAGTAAAAACAAGGTTACGGAGGGGAAGCAGATTAAGTTAGCAGAGTGGAAGCTCCACCAAAGTACAAGGTTTTTTTTTTATGCTGTTAACTGACCGCCAAAGTACAAGGTTCCTGCACCAACTCCTACATAAGGGAAGGTTTTAAATTTTGAGGACCAACAGATTTCAGGGAGACTTACTTAGAAGCATTTACGATATATACTATTCAATTAAAGTACATATAAGGATAAAACACAGACATAAGGTCTTAGATTGACGGCATGTCAAGCTCAATTAAGAAGGTTGAGCAAACACGACAACAAGCCTCCCAGGTAGTGGTAACAATTATGTATGTATGATAAGGTAGAGTAACAATTATGTATGTGATAAGGTAGAGCATACCAAAAGCTTCCTAACCTATGGAGTACACAAAATATCATACATGCATAGTTTACACAAGAAATGAAGCAGAGCATCAACATTCCTAAGGAGAGGTTTTGTGATTAATATCATGAAAATAGCACATAAAAGTTTTTTCTCGTGCAAGAAACATAAAATAGCATTCAGAAGGGTAGGTTTCAAGCTACTAAGAAAAGTGACTTAAGTGGAATGAGTTTTTAACACGCAATAAGTACGCAATTAGTAATTTATTGTTTGTATACAATAAAAACTAGCACAAAGGCATGTACTCCAATATAGTTAGGTGGCCTTGTTTACGAAAAATCTCTGGGGGAAGTCTTTTTATTGTATGCCATAATAAAAGAATTAACAGAAGAATAATACAATAAGTGCACTATCCGGTACAATAGGCAGCTATCATTGGACTCAAGAAGTTGGGGATTGTAATGTGAACAGCATTAATTACAGAAAAACAAAGATTGTTGCACACTACAGTATAGCCGCACATATCTACACTATTCGATAATGCTCAAAAATTTTCAATAAACACAGATTCAAGTTGAAATCCCAGATTCTATAACTAGAAATCAACAAACTTTAGGAAAGAGAGAGGAGATTCACACGCTATACGATTATAACAAGACCTTCAAGGTCCTTCCAGAATTTTTCGCTACTGTCTCTGTGCCCTAAATCCCAGAAGGTCTCTACAGAGACATAGGAAGCTAAGCGCGACCCATGTTGAAAAAGGTATATAATATTTTGAAATTTAAACTATCAGGTTTTTCAAGTTCTGTCACAGCTGCCCTGCTTTTAATTCCTTCGTACTCATCTAATCCCTATGATTAAGTTAAGGATAGATAAGTTTCCATGACAACAAAATACACTTTGGACTTTCTACCCATAACCATATTTTATGATGTTTAAGTGTTAGTCACAACTTTGATATAATTTGCACTTAAAAGCTTCAGATCTCTCAGTTTTGTTGCAAAGACCTATAAGGCTTCTTACAACTAATTTCTAAGGTGTTCTGCAAATCTATGTTGTTTTTTGCCGAAGATATCTATGTCTTCTCACAGATTTTTTTATTATTATTTTTACACCTATATTATGATGGTTAGGTGACAGCTCACTACTTTTATGTGACTTCGCACTTATTTGTGGCTGATCTCTTAGGTTTTCTTGCAAGATCTATATGGCTTTTTGTGATCAATTTCTAAGGTGTTTTCCAGTAGATCTTTCTTGCTTAGTTATCTATGCCTTCAATCACAAATTTTAAGAGGTTGTATCATGTTCCTTGCAAACTGTTTGATCGAATAAATGTTTGATATGTCTTTGCATAGAGAACATATGATCATTTCTCCATCTTGGGTCCTGACATAATGGCTCCAAACTTTCACATATCTGGAAACTAGAATTGGTTTCATCTATGTGGAACTGATCACCCATTAAACGAACCTGGGTCTAGCTTCAAAGGCTCCAGCAAGTGTAAACCCTTACTGTTAATATTCCCTCACATCAAGAACCAGCCTCTCTTGTGGTTTTTTCACAGTTTCTTCATATTTTAAAAAATATACAATATATGTAAGAAGCTGCGTCAAAAAAGGTTTCAAAGCAGGAAAATATTGGCTAGATCACCTCCTTAGTGCCAATATACGGCTCTCTTTTGGAGCTCTGTGTCGCTTGGGTTTGGTAGCATGCACACATATCCCTACTTATATATATATATATATATATATATATATGGAAAAGACTTAAAAATGGCCTACGGGCGATTTGATGTTAAAAATCTTGTCTCTAAACAAATTTTTGCAACATGGCAAGGCATTTTATCCTCATTTGAATTTGATATTGAACATAATAAAGGAAATACAAATTATTTACCTGACTTTTTAACTCGTGAGTTTTTGCAGGGTATACATTAGAACTATCTGCAGAAATATGTGTCGAAGGTCTTACCCTCTGTACAGACTTAAAATTAAAAAGGCAATTAGAAAAATAGAAGATGACTGGCAGGAAAGAATTAGGAGACTTCAGTGAACGATTTGGATATAATACTCTGCCCATGACTAAAGATACAAATACAAGAAAACATAGGTTAAAAAAATACAAATCAAATCCCAATAAGACAATTGTTAAAGAAAAACTCTCTAAAAAATTCTCTCCCAAGAATAAATTTAAGAAACACAAAGGGAAGAGAAAATTATCTGTCTGTTATAACTGTGGAAAGATAGGACATTTCAAAAATAAATGCCGAATAAAAAAGAAAATAAGCGCCTTACAAATAGAAGAAAATATAAAAAACCAAATATTTCACATACTACAAATAGATGAAGAATCGTCTGATAGCCTATCTGATTCGGACAAAGAACTGGTTGGAGAAATAGAAGATGAAAACTTACTCTTTAGTAGTTCAGATTCAGATGATAATAGCAGTAATTGCTTCTGTAATATGCTCTCTAAGGAAGAAACTTTTATCATTGATATTATAGATAAAATAACGGACCCTGAAGCTAGGAAAGAAGCCCTAGTACAATATATTAAAATATCAAAAGCAAATAAGAAGCCTCCTCCGCTTATTCGTACACAAGAAGATTATAATTTTGCTAAAATCTTAGAAAAGGGTTGAAGATAAAAATAATATTCAAAGAGAACCTTCTATATCTGAATTAAAACATGAAATAAATGAGGTACGAAATGAATTAATAAATCTAAAAAACAGAATACAGGTTTAGAAATGACATCCAACTTAACGGAAAATAGTCCTGAAAATTCTGATGAAGAGTTAGAATTTGATTATATATATATATATATATATATATATATATGTGTGTGTGTGTGTGTGTGTGTGTGTGTGTGTGTGTGTGTGTGTGTGTAGTG